TCTTGCTCCCATGCGTCTCCTCCACCGGCACCGGTAAGTTCATCTTGTTCGCGGCCAACAGGAAAACCATAGCTCTTGAGAACATCACGCTCCAGGCGGCTAAGCTCACCCACCCCTCTAGTCGTGTACGCTGTGATAGAAGCCCGATGACCATGCCATTCCTCAACTCCATGTCTTCGCTTCGGATCAAAGCTGAACATGTGCTGACGCGTATCAACAAAGAGGCCTGATGTCATGTTGCCATCGGCGAGGCGCGACTCAGCATGTTGGGGTGCACCAGGTTGGGCCTCGGCATCGGTTGAACTTTCAAGCCAAAGCCTTCCCCCAGTGAAGCTACCCAGGGATATTGTCCAGTTGGTGGTGGTAATCTTGTTGTGAACATCTTTGTGTGGACCTACCGGACAATCCCAACCAAGTTGAATGCTCGACCACCGCCCCTTTGCACCATGTGTTTTCATGTACGTGTTGATGTAGCGGACGACATTCGGGTACTGGTATTCCTTTTTGATCACTCCATAATGATTACCATGGGAGTAGGCACCGAAGGCTACGCTGCAAGTGCTCTCGTGAATCTTCCGTTTTCTGCCGGCTTGACATTCCTGGCAAACGGTCTTGACGATCTCCTCACAGCTCTGGTGGCTAAAGTCTTGTTCACGAAGAAGCCGTTTTGCTAGCGAGTCAACATCAACTTTGGGGAGATCATCAACCTGCTCGGGTGAGGCTTCGAGGCAATCACAAAAAGGCTCATCCCCGGCTGCTCCGAGCCGCCCGGGCTGAGTTCATAGAAGTCAGGCTCGACTTGTGGCACAACAACGGTCTTTGTACCAGCCTCATACTCACGATCACTCTCCTCGCTCTCTCCGTTCACATCCCGTGCTTCTCCTTCAGAACCGCCAGGCGGCTCTGGAGCGCATCGATCTCCTCCTTGATCCCGTCCGGCACATCCTGGCTCATGCGCTCCGTCTCTGTCTCCCCTTGTCCACGCCGCTTCTGCTGCGCCTTCTGCTTTGGTAGATGTGGGAGATCCTTCTGCGCGGAGCCGTAGCCCTTGGACCTGGATGGCACCGAGCTCGCCACAGACCACTCCGTGAACCTCGAGTCCGTCTCCGATGGATTGTAGGGGACCTTTGAGTTGATCTCGGGATCGTAGGTGGGCGTGCTCTGGAACTTCATGGTCGCGTAGTTCGCCAACCGAATGAGATCCGGGGACGCATTGTCCCGATTCACTCGGCTCTCTTCCATGCACCACCTGAGGTACGAGTCTGGCACCTCCTTGTAGAGTCGGCCCCGATGGCGGCCGAATGGCACAATCGTGTTCGCGGGACTGCCCGCGCTGTCCCTGATGAGACGTTGCAGTTGCCCCTTCAAGGCCCCTTCGTTGGTGCACTCGGCATCGCCAGGCTCATCTCTCGGCAGGTGTCCTGGAGCTGAAGCAAAGTCATCGAAGCAAGACCCTTGGGGATGTTGTCCACACCCTCCAATTCTTTGATCTTTTCCACCACTGCCTGCCGAATCTCGCCCACTGTCCACGTGGAATGGACCAGGCAGTCCAGCTCCTGTGCCTTGTCCATGAGCTGAGCTTTGTTCATCTTCCACGGGCTGATCTTCTTGGGGGTTTGGTGATCCATGAGGGTCAACTGTCGAGCTAGGCAACGAGGAAGTCCTACCCGACACAGCTCTTCGAGAAAACACTGTACGGCCGATCCACAAAGTAGGAAAACCCTGTCCCGCTTCATCCTCCCATACATCATGAAGATTCTGTAGCGGGTGATGCGATTGGCAACTGATTCCATTGGTAGTTCTCACAGGACCCACAACTCCTAGAAGCCGATCCTTAACCTCCCCCTGAGTGGTGACCCAATCGCTCGGGCTGAAGAGACCCCTTCTCGGAACGATATGCACTCGGATCAGCTGTGACTTGTTCTCAATCCAGAAGTCCTTGGAAAGCCTAGTTTGACACCACCAACGAATGAAGATATCTGTGTTCATAGGCTCCGCACTGAGAAAATTCTCGACGAAGGCGTGGATCTTCTTGGGATGAAAGATACGATAGTCTTCTGGAAGCTGAAGTCGTTCGATACCTTGGGGCCGTGATTGTTCAGGCTCGGGCACTGGGGGAACCTCAGAGGCAGCGGTTTCCAGGTTGGTGCTCTCGGATGCAGCAGAAGACATGTGCACTGTGTATGCCGCCGTGGGTTCGGGCACAATGTAAAGCTCTGCAGACCCCCACTGGTCGGGTGTCGGAAATCTGAAACCTGGAATCCCCTCAGGCTTCACGACGATTGCTGGGTGGCCCGAATCGGTGCTCGAGAGGTTGTGGCCATGGATGTTCAGGTGTTTGAAGTCTGCTTTGCTATCCTCGACGTCGTAAATCATTCCAAGACCGCTCAGTACAGAACGGCTCAACAGCAAAGGGACCTCACCATGAACAACGGAAGCCCGAACCAGGAAGCTCCTATGCCCAACTCTGATCATGATCGTGGCTGTGAAGGTGGACCTGAAGAGCTTTGAGGCACCGAAGCGGAAATCGTCCTGGGAGTCGATGAGCTGGACCTCGGTGCCTGATGCGCGCGCTGCCTTCAAGTAATCGTTGAGCCAGCTCTGGCCCGCGACCGACTTGCTGCAAGCTGTATCCGTGATTGCAAGAAGCTGTCCGCTAGGCTCTACACCGACCTCGAAGGCAACCTGAACCACTGACCCATCCGAAGCATCCCCCGTAACCGCATCCGTCACATGAACATTCTTTGCGGGCGGCGGCTTGTTCGAGGACTGTGCACCACGGTTCAGCGGACATTCAGGATCTTTATGCCAGTGCCCCCTACGGTGGCACCCGGCACAGAAACTTCGCTGTTTGGCTGCTTGAAGTCGCTGCTCTACGGATTGCTTGAGGGCTTCATCAGACAAGACTTTCGGACCGGAGCGGGAACCAAGGACAGCAGGATCTACTCCCCGTGCTTTAGCCACCTCTCTGTATAGCGCTGCTTTGCCGTCTCTTGTGCCACGAATGCCTCATGAAGCTCAAAAGCTGTCTCTTCGCTCATGCCCTCATCCCCCGGGTCCTCGGGGCCTGCCACAGAGGCTCCGTCGGTCTCCTCGTCGATGCCGGTCAAGTAGGCTCCACGAATCCCTGTAGGCTTTCCTAGCTTGGGGTCAAAGGGCTTCTTGGGTTGCCAAGGAGGGCGAAGGGATCGTTCATGAAGCACAGCTGCACGTTGAAGACGAACTGTATTGTACTCGTTCCCTACGCTGGCCAGAAGAGATAACTCCTCCGAGCTCGTAAGCCCCAACGAGCTCATATAAGCCCAAGCCTTGGCAACTTCAGGCAACTTGCATCCGATCTCCAACAACCTGCTGTGAGCTCTATCGAAGGAGGAATTGAACTCTCTGACTGTCTGAGAGGGTTGCCGGCGAAGCTTACGGAAAAAGGTTGTGAGTGTTTCCGCAATCTTGCTAACCTCAACCTCCTGGTACCGCTCTTGAATCCAATCTCGGAAGACTTGCAAACCGTCTGGGCCCGAAAGCGACTCTACCGACAGCTCCTCACTCTCGACCCAAGCTCTTCCAGACAAATGCTGATAAAGAAGTAGCGCCTGTTGATGCCTCGGAGTTCGTGTGACTTTAGACCAAGCATCAATCTGCCTCAAATAAGACCTGGCCCCCAATCCTAAGGAGTCCCCCGACCCCTCGGCATCGAAGGTTGGCACGGACATCTTCTCGCCGAAGCTGGCGCC